GTCCGATCGCCTGGCCGCCTACAGCCAGCTCGTCGCCGACTTGCGCCGGGTCAAGGCCGAGATTCCGCGGTCTCGGGCCCTCGGCCCGAGCGAGCGCCTGGCGTTCGGCGGGTTCCTCGAAGCGCTGCTGCTCAACGCCGAGCAGTCGCTCGCCGCTATCTGACGCAGCCCGCGCTCGCCATTTCAACGGAGCCCCACCCATGAACATGACCCATCTGACCCGCGCCAAACAGGAACTCGTCAGCCTGCCGTTCGCCATACCTGGCGGCCGGCTCGTGACCGCCCGTCTGGTCATCCTGCCCAGCACGCCGGCCGGTCCCATGCCGCGAGATCCCCACACGCTGCAGCTCGCCGTCGATGTGCGCGAGACGCCCGACGACGAGTTCGAGCAGGTCGCCATCTCGGCCGCCGTGCCGCAGTTCGGCGAGAGCATCGTCGACGTCGCGGTGCCCACGCCGGCCGAGCCGGTGGAAGTGGGCATCCGGCCGGCGCTGGCGCGTCTGCGCCTGATCCACACGGGACAACTGCAGCCGCTGTACGAGCTGCGCGTCGTCGGCCTCTGAAAAGGAGAACACCATGCCCCAATTCCTCCCGCAGGCCGAACGGCGCCCCGTGCCCGGCCAAGCCATCCCCGTGACGGGGCCTGGTGTGTCGAACGCCCCGAATGAGGCATTCGGCCGCATGGGTCAAGCCGTCGAGGGCCTGGCCCTAGACGCCATCGCTCAGCAAACGGCCGAGCAGCGGCGCCTCGAACAGGTGGCCGAGGACGCCAACAAGGCCCGCGGGCTGGCCGCGATGGGCACTGCCAAGGTCCGACTCCACGACTCGATGCGCTCGCTGTCCGATCGCATCCTGCGCGGTGAGGTCGACGGCGTGGCTGCGCTCGGCGAATGGAACGACACGCAGTCCCAGATTACTGGCGAGTTGACGAAGGATCTGCCCGGCCACATCGCCGAGCGCGTGGGAACGCAGATCAAGCTCGACGCCAGTGAGCTGGCCAGCACTGGCATCGGCCGCGCCGTCGAGACCCGGCAGCGGGAGGTCACGCGCGCCGACCTCAGCACGTCGCTCGAAGGGTTCGAGCGCGACGCCCTGACCGACCGCACCAAGGCCGTCACGCTGGCGGGTGCCGCGATCACGACCCTGGGTGCCTCGGCCGGTTACGGCCCGGACGATCAGCAGCGGCTGCTGCAGGGCTTCAAGGAAAAGACTGCCGCCAACATGGCCGAGCAGCGACTGCTGGCCAGCAGCCGCAACCCGGCCGCGCTCGACGCCTTCGAGCAGCAGCTGCGCGGCGAGGACTTCACCGACCTGAGTCCGAACCAGCGCGAGCACTTCGAGGTTCGCATCGAGAACAAGCGCGCCGCGCTCCAGCATGCCGCCGAGGTACAGCAGCGCCGGCTCGAAGCCGCCCGAAACCGCCGCCTGACCGAGGCTGAGCACGCCGTGCGCGCCGTCGAGTCCATCGTCGACGGCGGCGGCATCGCTGACGATGCCACGCTCGCCAAGGCGCAGGCCGCCGCCACTGGCACGCCGTGGGCGGACGTGCTCAAG